TAATAACAGCCTTTTCTTCATAAATTTTGAGAATTGCTTTATTTTAATTATGTGAAATTATATTTCTTTTAATTATATAAAAAATAAAATATTTATATTTATTTTTAAAATTAAAATAAAAAGATTAAAAAATTAAAGATATTATATATTTCAGCATTAAAATTATTAAAAAAAAAATTAAACTCACTGGAAGTTCTTTGTGGTAAATAGAAATTTCACTATTATACTTTTTCAGTGAAATTTGACCTGATTCATTATGTGAATTCCTGTTGCTTCTCCAAGTCATTGTCACTAGCTGTTAATATTAAAAAAAATTATTTTTTTATAAAAAAAAAAAAAAAATAAATTTTCAAATAATCTATCTATAAAATTTCTTTAAATTCAATTAGCTTTTACAAATCTTCAAGTCAGAGAAGATAAAATTTTTTTGAAATATAAAACTTCTTTATATATTAATAAAAAAAAATTTAGATTACATATAATAATATAAGCCATAAATATGTTGCAAACTCTATGTTAATATAATTATCATCAAATATTTCAACAAGACTATTTAAAAAATTATGTATTCGCAATATTATATTTCATTAGATATGGCTATGATCTTGCATCATATATTATATCATTATCATTAAAAAGTTTTGCTTTTATGAAATTAGATATATAAATGAATGATACAATATACATGAAATTACAGATATATTATCTTTGAATTATTAGAAATAATTCCTTATTATTATAATATAATTTATATATAAACTTTATAAATAAATCAAAAAATAAATACTTCATATAACAATACTTCATATAAATATATTATATATATTAATACAAATTTTCAACATAATAAATATATACTGCTTTAAATTAATAAAATATCAAATGATAAAATAATAATAAACAACTTATAATATTAATGAATTTATAACAAATTTTATTTATTATATTAAATGTTACTTACAGGATATATAGGTGAATCTTCCCTGGAGCAAGATGCATCTTCTCCATTTTGAATATTTGAATATGATGTAGAATTCAACATAGTTTCTTCTCTAGCACGCTTTCTAGACATTTTTTACTGCTTCAATGTTAGGTCCATAAAAAACCTATTAAACAAAATATTATTTAAAATTGTTATTATTGATATTGTTATTGTTATTTATATTATTATAAATAATTAAATTATTTGTATAATGTCTTATCATTAAAAATAATACAAAATATATAAAATATAAAATAAAAATTATATATAATCTTTTACTTGAATTACGTATAATAAAAAATAAATAAAAATTTTAAATTTGTATTATTAAAATTATAAATTTTAATAATATTTATTAATTATATTTATTTCATAAAAAATAAAAAATAAAATAAAAATCGCAAATATTTTTAACAATATTTAAATTAAGATATTAAAAGCTAGATACTATTTTAATTATACATATATTTACATATAATATTCATTTATAATCTACACAAGAAATTGATGAACGTTTACCTGGTTTTCACAAGTTATCTTAAAATTATTGATCAATGTCATTATTATAATTTTATGATTACGAATCATTATGATTATAAAATATTCATGAATAATCGTATAATCTCCAGGAAACAATTAGAGATGTGCCGAATTATTTGTGAACCAGTCATGTTTGGTTATTACATATTATGATTCAATAAAATTTTTTATACATTTATTCCTTGTAAAACAATAGCATGTTGCTAAAATATGTTTTATAGTTAAAAAAAGAAGAATGCAGAAAACATCATATAACCAGATATAATCAATCAAAGATATAATATTTAAAATTTAATAATAATGTATAATCTCAAGTAACTTGTTCACTCGGTTTTTTATAATTTATTTTTACATATATTTTTTAACTTTATATATACTTTCTTTTTAAACTTTTATAAATTCCAATTGAACTAAACGAACCTTTTCACGCCCTAATTTCTGTATACACGACGATTGACTATAAAGATAAGTAATAGGATATGACGAAAAATCAGAGTTCCGCTAGAAGTTTATTGAACTCATTATTTGATTTATCGGATTTTTATAGAAAAGTTTAAAAAACAAATTCTTGGAAATTTTTAGAGAAATTTCACATTTTATGTTATTTTAAAATACTATTTCACGACACACACAACTGCTATAACACTTGTGGATACTACGTATTACACATTTTCAGTATATTATCAGGGACGAAATAATAGCACTATGAACCTCGAGTCAAATGAAAAAGTGTATATGCATGAGTTCTATATTAAAAGAGTATAAGAATTACAAATGAGGGCAAGAAGCCATATAAATATCTTTATTTAAATCTAGTGCGGTTTCAATAATTATTAAAAACAAAAACATCAGAATATCTATTCTGAAATTCTTTCCTTTCTTATTTTTATTGCGAAAGTAAAAATTTATAAATATTATAAATTCATAAATATTCTAAAATCTATTTAGATTATTCAAATTAATTATATATATTAAATAATAGCATTTATAAGAAAAAAGAAGGAAAGAAAATAAATTAGTTTTCAATTATTCTTCAAATAATTTATTTTATTAAATATTATGCAATATTGATAATAAATTGTAATTTATAAGTATAGTTATTTAATTTTTATTAAATAATTAAAATTTGTTAAACATAAAATATTTATTAATATGAAAATATAATCTTTTTATGTTTAAAGTGTAGTTTAAAAAGAATAACTACAATAATATGCTTTTTGATCTTAAAAGAACGTACTTTTTCAAGACAATAGTTACACCGGATTGTTACACTTAACTGTTGAAGAAACTAAACTAATAATAAGAATCAATTAAAAATAAATTTCACATAACAGATATGTTACTTGTAATGCATAAAATATGTGCACCAAACATTTTTTATGAGTATTAATTAAAGGAGGGAGGGGGAATGATGACGTAATATCGGATGATCATAATATTATATACTTATCGCAGTCACAAATGTACATATACTTTCAAATATATATATATATATGTGTGTGTGTGTGTGTGTGTGTGTGTATGTCTGTGTGTGTATGTATTTTATATAAAATTAATTATTAAAATTATTTTATATGAATATACGAATAATATCATTACATATTATTATATTATAAATTTATCAAATTATTAATATATTTTTTAAATTAAAAATAACAAATAATTTTATTATTATTGAAATGTATTGAATTTGAATGATAATGATAATTAATAATAAATATTTTATATTCTGTTATATAACAATAAACATAATAAATAAATATAATTTGGTCACATAAATAATTAAAATGAATTAAAATAATGAAAATTTACATATTTTGAACATATTTTTTGATAAATTCATTTCAGTTATTTTATATTCATCTTTTTATTTTATAATAAAGTTTTCATTTATGTAGTAATAATAAATTTAATAATAATGATAGTTTTAATTTTCTTAGAAATTTTTTTACAAGGGTAATTAAATTTTTTGTTATTATTTTGATATAATTTTATTATTACATTATGATATAATTAAAGGATTTTTATTTAAGAAATTATTTTTTTTGTCATTTTTATGATTATATAAAATAAATTTTTTTAGCATAATTTAAATATGTATCATTTTTATGTTATAAACTTTTTTCTGTTTAGCCATACATAATTACATTATATGTAATTTATCTGATAACATCTATAATAAATTTAATATATATACTTATATATGTAATAACAAACAAAATATTTCAATCTAAAAAAATTTTATTTTCGGTTAATTGAATTGATGACGTGACGCCTGAAATACGGCATAACTGATTTATTAAAAACGAAATGTAATTATGAACGAATTATTTAGAATAGATTAAAATATCATTAAAGTAAATATTTATTATGAATTACGGAAGATTTTTGACGCAATATCTGATAAACTCATAAGAGAAAATTGCTCAATAGTTGCATTTTGTATATTTTTTACAGTAATTAATTCATCGAACGCATATTTAACATTTATGTTTCGATTGATATACAATTGTTAAATACTATATAACAAAATGTTTCGCATAAAAAAGACATGCAGCATATATTTTTAATTTATTTTTAGTTTATACAAACAAAAACTTAACTACTCAACTAAATAAAAACTTCTAAATGAAAATATACTGTCATTACTTTTATTTTTATATATATTATGATATATTCAAATTTAAATTTAAGTATTTATATAATTGATCGTAATTTCATAGTTTATATAATAAATTATATATATGATTAAATATATATCAATAAGTAATAATTTAAATATATTTTTTTTTATAAACGAAAATTAAATGTAATATAACGATAATTATGATTCTTTCTTACATTGTAAAAATTTCATTTATATTACGAATAAAATGTATAATTTTAAAGGTAAAGCAAAACAATCAATTAAAAAGCTGAGATTTATTTTAATTAATAATAACTTTAAAATAATCTCTATATAATTATAAGAATTATAATTTTACTTTTTTCATATTGATTTTGTTTTCACAAATCTTTTTGTCACAATACATCGCACGAACAGTCCTTCAATAATTCTTAATTGAAATGTTTACAATCGCACATTGCTTGTATCTATTTCACAAGATCTTAGTCTTCATGAAATAATTAATGAGGCAGTGCCTACTAATTATCAATAATTACATTTATGTAATTCAACTTTACGTACTTAGTTTTAATATTTATATACTTTGATATATACATACAAATAAATGTCCGACCATTAGTTATATTCTTTTGTGTCGTAACAAAAAAAAATTTTTTGGAGGATTTTGTTGTAACTAGTCGCAGATTTTATTTCTGGAATATTTTCCATTGCAAATTCGCTTGCAATGGTAAATATCATGATAATTATTGTGTACAAATAAATAGCAACAAGAACAAGAAATTGTAATGTTACTCCATTCAGTCATTTTTTTACGCCACTGTCCTTAATTCACATTGTCATTACACAATAACCGGAAGAAACGTAATGCCCAGCATTCTTTTCAACTTATTTCAGTAATATATCTTGGTTTCATTGTTATACTTTATTTTACGCAATAACAAATTGCAAAATTACAGCTAAATAAGCGTAATAAATCAATGTAAATTAGCTGTAAAATTACACGATTAAGTATACTTTATATCAAACTGAAAATGTATACTTTTTGTTCTAATGTAATCCAATGTGATGAATTAGAATTAACAAATAATTTAATATATCAAAATATAAAATGTTTTATACATTACATTGCAGTTCATTACGTTTCATTTAAAAGGCATTCGTATACAGTTTCGTCTAACTTCAACGCTGTAATATTATCGATATTATTAAATAACATTTACTGTACCTAAATTTAATAATAAAAATACCTAAATCACAATATATTATGCCATCATTTGATAGCAATGAGTTGGTGTTTTTCCAGTCTATTTTTCGCAGTTTTGTTATTCTGCCAAAAAAGTAGTATCAGAAGGCGGATAATTGGGACAAAGAGATCGCAATGACAAAAATGTAATATTATTCTATGAACATTCTTAATATTCTAAACTCCAAAGCTGGAGTTAGTGTTTACAAATACTATGCAATTTACAAAGCATTAAAAAAGAAAAAAGAGAGAAAGAAAAAAAATAGACACTAAGCATCGTTCGGCTCGCAATGGCGGGAAATGTGTCTTGTTTTAATTTTATGTTAAAAATAAATTCATGAATGCAATATTATTTTATTGTATTATCATTATAAATTAAGCAAAAATAATGAATTATAAAAATTTCGTCAGTGCGAACTCACTTATATAATTTAATAAATTTTATATTGCTAAATTTATGTTTAACATATCACACTTCATCAAGTAATGACAAGTACAAGTTTTATGGTATGTAATTCGCAACAATTCCAAATAGTAAAAAATGGGATGACTATTGTATCTACTAATGAAATACAATCAACAAATATATGAATTATATCAAATAGTTACATACAATTATTTCTCTTCATAATTAGGCTGGCGCAATTGTTCCATAGCTACCTAAAATCTGTGATTTCTCCACAAGCTTTATTAAAGCAAATGTGTGTGTGTATGTTTTTTTCTTTTATATTAAAATATTAAAGATCGAGGGTAAAAGCAAATGGCTAATTAGTAGGCTGTGCACGAAGTGCCTCATGCAGTGCCTGTTGTTGATCTGCTGTTAATGCATTTATGCATGCCTGGAACATAGACTCGTTGTTCTAAAACAGAGAATAGATTATTTTTTAAAACATAAATATGCAATAGAATAAAAATATATTTTATATAATATACATTGTTTACTTATACCTGTATTTGTCTAACAATGCTAAGAATTCTACCCATGACAGGATTATCTGTTGGTACGGCATCTTTATAAAATGCTTCTGCAAAAAAACTTATTAACCGAGGTAGATTCGAATTATTTGGTCCTAAAACTGCTACGTGATTTGCTTCAATTAAATCACATAAATATCCATAAACATAAGGTGCTTCATCTTCATCTTCTACCACTGGTAGCCAAGAGAGCCTGGAGAAATAAATTTTTTACTAATTTTTTTACAATTAATATAATACATGATTCGCTAAAAGAGACCCAAAGAGATAATATCACCAATCACATACTCCTGTTTTTCTTTATATATATATTCATAATTGCTTCAACATTAATTTTTACATAATCGCTAAATTATATATATTTTAGAGAATTAGATATAATTTTTGAGTCCTCTAACAAAAAAAATCATTTTGTATCATATGATTATTAAGATTATTAAGATTATTAAGATTAATAAATAAAACTTACCAATGAGGAAGTATTTCATCGACATTGATTGCTTTATTATTATATTTAAGAATTTTTGTTACTGCAGAAATAGCATTTTCTGTAGGATTGACATTTTCAGGTGATCTAGATTCTGGATCATTTATAACTTCCATTAATCTAGGTAAAGCTTCTGCACATGCTTGAGCAAATGCTTCTCCTCCGTATTGTCCTAAAACCCCACAACCATAAGCTGCTGCTTGTCTTACTTCTGCTGATTTATCTGACACATATTGTATCATTGGTCGTAAAAAATATTCTTGATATTTTGCACATTCAGGTCCACCAAATTCTATTACATCGTCAAAAACACATAAAGCCCATTGATGATCTGACCAAGATCTTTCAGGACTTAATAATTTAACAAAATGTCCACAAATTTGATCGAAATAAGGGAAAAATGAAGATTTATGAGTAGTGAATAAAGCATGTAAAATATCTGCTATTTTACTTAGAGTATATACATCTTCATTATCTTCATCAGCAAGTTGTTCTTCAACAATCTATAATAAATTTTAATAAAAATTGTAAACTATCTATAATGTTAATTAAATTTTGTCAAAATTATATATGCAAAATCTTACCTCATCATAATCTTCATCTTTACGTTTTTCCAATCTAGCTACTGCTCTTTCAAAATGTTTGTTAAGTAATTTATCCAATATACGTAAAAGTTCAGCCATGGGTTGTGCTCCTAAGCAACCTGCACCAAGAGTTTCAATACATTTGGCCAACGAATACAATAATTCTAATAAAACATCAGATTCAGGTTCTGTATCAATTGCTTTTAAGAGATCAGGACAAATATATGCCCACATTCCTTCAAGATACTGTGGACCTATAATTTAATTATTATTTATAATTATAATACAAAGAATTAATATTTTATGAAAATATATTCGTATAATTATTATTAATTAACCTTTTATTTTTGCGCAATCAAGAAGATATGGTAAACTTGCAGCAGCAGCTGTTCTAACACCATCATGAAAATAAAATTTCAGCATAGGAACCATTAGCCGTACTACTTCTTCTGCATAATCTGCAAAACCTTCCTTCAATTCACGCGCATAGCAAACTAACATTTCACAAGCAGAAGCTTTATCTTCTAAACCAGCTGTTTTAATTCCAAAATTTTGTTGTTCACCAAGAGAGATGAATTCCCAATCAACATCTTCTATACCTTCCATATCTTCATTATCTAATAAAGCCACTTCAGGTCTCATAGCGGCTGTTCGTAAAACTGGACCCATTACTAATGGCAAATATTGCTCAAATTGTTTACCTAGAGAGAATTTAATTATTATTGTTTAATCATATTTTAATATATTTTATTCAAAAAGATAAAATTTTAAATTTTCTACCAAGAATTTTACAAATTCGTGTCCATGCGGATATAAGATAACTTGTTTGTGGATCATCATCTGGAAGATCTCCTTCAGAATGAGTTTTTAATAACATGTCCATAACTTCACTAGCATCTGCAATAAACTATATAACCATAAAAAATATAGTTATATAATGTATTTTTAAAAACAAAATATTAAATACTTTATTATGTCATTTTTTATTATTTAATATTATTATACCTTTTCAGGTCCTACTGCAAGTCCTATAAGACTCACGCATTCAATTGTCTTTCCACGTAACATTTTATGTTCTTGTTGATTAGCATTTTGAATGATATATTTTAGACACGGCATTAATCTATCATAATATGTTACAAATTGTTCTTCACATGTATCAGCAACAGATGCAATAGTTGTAACAACCTATAAAAAAAAAATAAATTGAAAAAAATTATTATTACAGGTTAAAAAAATAATTATATATGCACTAATTTTATTTAAGTACATATAGTTAATAGCTGTTCTTACTTGTTCTAAGACAAGTTTAGTTCCTTTCTCAACTAATTCTTGAAATTTAGCAGTAAGAATTGATTCCAATTTAGCCATAATAGCATCTAAATATGGTGTTAATATATTTTTTGGACAATCTTCGCTAAAATTTACAAGTGCTGCACCAGCATGAGCTTGAACTCTTGGATTTGCATTATCGTCCAAAACCATTAATAAACCAGGAATGACTTTGTCATGAAATTTTTTTTCAAATATAGGTGCAAAATCAGTTGACATTTGACCTACTGCATTACAAGCTGCATATCTTACACGAGGATGCTACAAAAGATATATAATTAGTAAATATAATTAATCAATAGATAAATATGTATGTTCCAAAACTATGAATATCTTTGAAAAAATAATAGTTAACTTTAACTTCGAAAAATGTATTCTAATATATTGTCAGAATGATAATATATATGAATATGAAATTCTTCATTTTAGTTTATCATGAATTTAATGCTTATTACTATTATATTTATATCAAAAAATATAACTGCTGACTCAATTCATGGTATTTTAATGAAATTTATAAAAAATAATTTTCAAACTTACGGGATCTTGCAAATATTGTATAACTCCTTCCATAATTTGAGGTAATATTGCTTCCATTTGTTTATGACAACCTTCTCCAACAGCTGATATTGCCATAAGAGCAGCATGTCTATATTATAAATTTTTTGAATATTTATAACTATAATTTTATTAAATATTTTTAATAAATTAGCAAAAATATAAATGTTTGTTCTAAATCTATGACAATAATATTACAATATTATTATCAACTCTCTATTAAAGAACATCCTTCAAAAATCTTAAATTTTAAACTATCAAAACGATAGATAAAAATAGATAATTTGAAAGATTACTCTATCACAGATGTAACGCAATTATTTGCATAGAACGAATAACTGCTGACTATTCTGTGATGAATATTGAAAATAAATAAAAATACTTTATAAATATTTACCTATATTTCCAATCACTATTATTCAACATTGAAGGAATATTTTGTACAATTTGTGGTAACATAGTTTTACCACCTAAACCACATGCTAATCTGTCTAAAGCACTTTCAGCAACAACATTATTACTATCATTGTCATCATCAACGATTTCATCAGAAAAGCTCCACTTTTCATCTTCTTCTATATCTGTCATCATTTTTAGTACCAATGGTACTAGAGATGCAATATATTTTCCACCAACTTTACGTACCATTGCAGGAGCAGTTTCTGCTAATGTTACTAATACTTCCAATGCTAATTGCCTCCATGAATCAGCCATATCTTCATTCGAAAATATTTTCATACACATTTCCATTATAGTTTCTAATTGTAATCTCAAAAACTTAGGCGTCGATTCTGCTAAATCAATTAAAACTTTTAAGAGAGCATCATCTCCTTGTTTTTCTACTGATTGAGCAATTACTTGTACAATTGCTGGTAATAATTCTGAAAAATGTTTCTGTATATTTTCTTCTTTATCATGCAAAATGATAAAAGCTCCAATTGCTCTTACTGCTTGAAATCTGACCTATAAAAAAAATTATTATAATTATTAAAAATAAAATTTAAAAAAAAACAAGAAAATTATTTTTATGCAATTTTATGCAAAAAAAAACGAATAATGATAAAAAAGAAACAAAAAAAAATTACAAATACAAGTAAACAAAATTTTATTTATTTATTAATTTTTATATGCCCCGTATCTGTCTATAAATTAAATCTTCATAAATAATAGTCATCAGAAGGCAACTTTTCTATAGGAAGAATTTATGACGAGAAATTAAACTATATTTATCTCGTGTATCATTCTTCCATATTAAACATTGAAAATATAAAACGAATGTATAAGAAATATAAAAATATAAGTATAAATATACATGAAAAAAATATATTCTATAATACCTCATAGTTTGCAGAATCCATAATCGATTGTTGTAACATTTGTTTTATAAGATTCAAATAATTTGCTTGTTGATTTCCAAATACGCCTGGGACGGATCTATATTTATTTAAAATGAATATTATGCGGTGAAATTCGAAATTATATATATTTATAATATAAAAACATTAAAATATATATACAAAACTTACGTGAACATTCGAAGAGCATTTTCTTTTAATGCTGGTACAGGACTATTTGCACATTGGAATAGGAACTGCAGAAACTCTGGCCATTGATTATTACCATCTTCATCAATCAAATTTCTTGCAACTTCAGCTGCAACCTCACAAACCTTACGTCGAATAGTTTCTGTCTGTTCATTTTGAACAGATAATAAAATTTGCTCTTTTAATTGAGCTTGTGCTTCTGGTGGAATCTAAAAATAAATACAGCTATATTGACAGCTATATATTGATAGCTTTTTATTATACATATATATATAAACAAAAATATGATACATTTTAGATGAATTTTTCTTTATATGTATTATAATTTATTAAAACATAAATTTTTATATAAGAATTTTGCAAAAGATAATGTACATTAATCTATATTTTGTTTTTTTAATAAAATTTCAATTTTTATAAAATGTTTATATAATTTTTTAAAAACATGGGTTAAGTAAAATTTAAAAATTTTAATATATTCTTAAATTATGAAAATTTAAAAATTATTATATTTGAAAACTTTTCTTAAAATTTTATAAATATTTATTTATATGGATATATTTTCTAAACATTTTATATGTTTGAAATAAATTTGTTAAATATCAAAATATATTTATATATAATAATAAAAATAATATAGATTTAATAAATAATATAAATTGATAATTTATAAGATTCACAATAATTTATAAGGTCACTTTATCATTGGCAATAGTTGTTGGCATAAACTACAGAGAGCATTATATGACTTGAAATTATTTTAGTCTGTAATTTACTATATGCATCAGCAATAAAAGCTGAACAATATCTTTATTATATAAAAATTTAAAAAATATAAAATTTATTGCAAACAAAAATTTTCTAATATATATTATAAAGCTTATTTTCATTTTTACAATTAGAAAATTATTAAAATAAATATAATAAAAATATATTTACTTTAGGATAAAAATCCATAAATTCAGAAGAGAAGAGTCGACGTAACAAGACGGCAGCCATGGCACGCATCTCTTCTGTAAGAGTGGCATTGCATAAAGAAGTTAGAAGAAATGTCACCTTGCTATCCACTGGGAGATTGTTGTATGCATCCTAAAATATTAAAATATATAATATAACACACACACATATATATTATAAAATTTAATTTTTTATAATGAAACACTTTTGTTTTAGATAAAAAAAAATCATAATATTAATAAAATAGTCATGTTTAATCATTTTAGTTTTATTTTAAAATATGAAGTAAATAAATGTCAATAAGAAATATCAATATTTAAAAAATAACAATTTATAATTAACATTTTAATACTACATTTTAAACTACTAGACTAAATAAAACCAAGAAAAAAAGGTATAGTATAGGATATGATTATATAGTTTTATTATATGCATATTAAATGAAATGTAAAAAATTAATATTAATAACAATAATAATATAATTTTAAATATATGAAATAATATTCATATAAATGAATACATTTTTTATATCATTTAAAATAGATTCAGAAATACCGGAAATCAAATAGAAAATGATTCTGTGTAGGCGGGAAAGCGAAATACAGAATTTATAAATATTGCTAAATACTTTCGTTATATATTATGTATTATTTAATACTAAATTAAATTTTTTTATCTTGTAATGTTATAATAGCATCATGTAAACGATAAAATAATCATAAAACAATTTGATAAGACGCATATTTGCATCGCATTAAAAATGACACGGATGATTGTAAAAGGTTGGAGGGGTGCATGCTACCACGGGACACCATTTTGGATTTTATTAGGTTCTTCTAAACACTTGTCAGTATTCACTAAGATAATTAATTTTATTTAACTTGAAACTAATTATATTGATATTATATAAAATTATTTATTAAAAAAATTCTAAGTAGAACTGTAATTCAATGTGAAAAATCACTGAATGGTGCCCACATGCAAATTCTGACAACATGTTGGCAACGTGCTCTGGAAATGAAGTATCTCATTTTATAAGACTTATGTTTTGTAAAAAAATTAATATATATAAAATATGCATGTAAAAATCATAAAAGATATACGCACTTCTGCTTGGGTTCTGGCATCATTATCCGTGCTCAGGAGTGTATTTAAAAGCTGTTGAAACTGATCAAGGTCTGCCGCCATTGTCACCGAACGAATGAAACTACAGCGCACACTCATACGAGTTGATCGTCAATTAATATTACCAACATAAATTATTAAAATATTTCTAGATATATGTTGCCAACTTTATGAATTTTATGTAATCGAAAGTAACTATTTTTATAATTGTGTGTTTGCCTTAAAATATTTTTTTAAATATATTATGAATCTGCAATTATATATTTATTAATTATGAATATGATGAATATTTTTGATAGAAAATTTAAATTATAATTCATTCGTTTTTTCATAAAATATTATTGATTGCATTAATCATTTAACATGAACGAATGATCAATAGAGAAAGAAAAAGGAATAAGATGTCAAAATATGAAAAGTAAAACAATAATAATAAAAATATTATATTTTTAAGTAATTTGAATTAGGAAAAAATATATAAGTATATTTATTTAATTCTTTCTGGTATTCTGATACCTTTTTATTATCAGTTCAGTATCTCTTTATTATAGTTTAAATACACATCTTTAAAGTTTCATATCATTATCTATTGCGTTTTTCATATCATAAAATATTAATTTCAGTGAGTTTATTAAAGAAAGCAATATCTTTATAGTCATCAAATATCCAACTTTTCAATGATAAAACCACATTTTGTATTTCTTTAATATATATATTTTACTTAAAAAAATTGTATAAATATTTGAACAAAATTTTCATATTATTATTAAAAGAAATTAAAAAATAAACAAAATAAATAATTTCATCATTGCTTTAGTATCATCATATTAAAATTCGAGTTTGGATTGAGTAATATTGTTCAATTATCATTTGTCGAAGTATTTTTTTCTATTGATAGAAATGAATCTTTCATAGAATGGATATTTTATTTTTTTTTTTTTTTGATGTCACATAAAATAAATAATAATATAAAATCCAAATTACAAATTTTATTATAAATTATAATAAAAATAAATTACTTTTATTATTCGTAATATTTACTTTGATAAATATTTAATTTGATAATATAATATTCGTAAAACTTAACGATAATCGAAAATAAATGGAAAAATTTTTCATTATTCATATTGACAATATTCGAAATAAAATTTTAAAATTTATTTTTGTATGATATTACAAATTTGAAAGATATTAAAATATTAAATATTATATATTTAATTTTAATAATTAAGTGCTCTATTTTCTTGACAAATCTTTGACAGATTCAAAAAAAAAAAAAAAGAGAAAATTAATTATTGAAATTTAAATAAATCTATCGATAACAACTGTATATTATATAAACTTAAAACGATTCAATTTCATTAAAAATATATTAATGTTTATAATACATTAATAGGAAGAGATCGAAAATGATCAAAAATATAATGCAGTTAATTCGATTTATTGATTATAAAAATAACGAAAAAATGAAGCATGCGTTAATTTCGTAACCTAATTGTGTAATCTTTCACTAAAGAAAGAACGTGATGTTTTAATTTTTTACAGAACATGTACAGAACATTTAAACAGAATAGTTCGCAATAAACGAATAAAAATATATCAATATAAATATATATACTTTATCTGATTCTATGAAGTAAGAATTTTTTTTCAATAGTATTTTTTGTAATTCCTCATTTAATCATTTCACAGAAAAGTTGATCCGTTTAAACGAACTATTATGGTCGCGTTAAGAAATGCAATATTTAAACGAATAATTTATTTATTTTTAAGCTTGAAAATCGATGAAAATCAGTATGTCTATTATCTTTAATTGAGATTTTTAAATGCGTACGTTCGGTGATAAACAAAGTGAGTAAAAACAATTTAACAGTTATGAAATTGGAACAAGCTGTTCTTTCTAACGCGTGCCATGAAAGTGAGTTTTTTTCATTACAATATTATTACGAGTATTACCCGAAATTCTCGTTGAATCGATCAACTACATACACGCACACACGCGTACACACACGCATACGAACAGAGTATCTTTTTAATAGCTTTCAACTTTGTTTTATTATTATTGTCCATTCATGTACATGTATGTACAGACGCGAGGAAACAAACGCGTTCGAAATTCTTTCGACGTTGAACAAAACACTTTTTGAATTCGTTGTATCGAATTCATCGATGTTCGATGACGCCATTGTTCGAATTGATCATTTTCAATTTCCTCGGCACTTACTCGGTCGAAATTTTCGTTTCACTTTTCTCTAGGATCATCGTAATCGTGAAATCGACTCGATAGTTGTTTCGTTGCGAGGATTTTAAGCGAATATAAATCATTCAAAGAATGGGAAAATTGTTCGTGGCGCGCGAAGGATGGAAGTGGACCGACTTTTCGGTTACGTATGTATATATATATATAGAAAGCATAAGTCGGAACGAATTCGGCCATGAGATCACTATCGATAGTTGCGTCGGAAAATATTGCGATTAGCGAAGCGAGTTTCGAGTTCCATTCTGAAAAAATTGGCACGAACCAGGGGACGAATAGTAACGCTGACGTGTTCGTTTTCGTTTCTATGTTGCTTGTTTCGTACTGTATCAATGTTAAGAGGCAATTCAATTATAATATTAGTGCCATTAAAGAAACGCAAATTACAAATTATTTGTATCGAAGTTTAATTGTAATTTTAATTGCAGTTTAAGAGGCTATGAGATTATTAAATTTAACGATGTGATATTTCGAATGATTTTAGTTATTTTATTTTATTTTATTTATTCCATTGGACGATTTTATTATTTTATTTTTATTAGTTAATAATATAGATATTTTTTCCAAACACAATTGTTTTATTGGCAATTAAAATTTGTCGCTTTCTATTATTTTTTTAAAATTAAGACGAGACAAGGGATTGAAGTGTCTCCTAACATAGTATTATATGGCAACGTTTTTTGTACGGGAAATTAAATTACGTGACTATCACATTACGATTATTAATTATTTCATAGACAATGTATTACTTTCTCCACTGTTGTTACATTTTTTTTTTTCTTAGTCTTAACAATATTAATATTTATATCTATGTATATGTATATATTTCTATATATATATATATATATGTATATTAAATGTATAACACATAAATACTGCACACATTCACTATATACAAGCTCCCTCGGCTTCATTCTCACTCTTATTCGTTCATATACATCTCCTTTTCCCTCCCTTTTTTTTCTTTCCTTCCTTTCGCCACGTTCATCAGTAATCGTTGGAAAGAGTCCAGACTGCTCCCTCGTTGCACGATTTATTACATCTATGCGCGGAAAAAGTACGGGAAAATTGGGTTATATATCAATTGTATCAATTGTAAGATCACAAATTTTAATCGATATTTTAATACGCAACATTCAAATCCGAATTTTTCGAAATTTTAAGTCAATGAAGAAAATTGTTTTACTTTTTTTTCTACGAACACATTGGTTACACATCGCGATTTGTTTGTTTAAAAAATAATTAGGAAAAAGTCACGTTGATCTATTTGATGATAATGATGTTTTGCATTTTAAATTTCTAATAAATTTTGGATTTTAAATCTTGTTAATAATTATTTGTGTTGAATGATAGAGAACAAAATGAAATTTTGAAATTTTTATGTCGTTTGATTTCGAGAAAATTAAATATAGATATTTAATATCGATTTCCCTTTATACATATAAATCATAATATTTATGAAGATGATTAATAATATGTTATATTTAATATTACGTGGATAAGGCAGTTATCTGTTTTTGGATTAACGTGCTAATATAAATATTTTTATACATTTAATGTATATATAATTGGTGGATAGATTAATGTCGCTGAATTATCTTTCGTCGTAATCCTTTTTTTACTTATTATAATTTTACTTAATAGCTCCTTTACGATTGTTCGATATGTTACTTATTCAAATATTGTGCAGAATATTTTATTAAAATATTTCTGGATAAAATTTTTTATAACGGATACAATTATACAGTAATATTATAGATTATTTTTAAAAAATGGAAAGATAACAATTCAATGCGTTCAATAAAAGTGTAACAATTAAATATATTGCATTAAAAGATTTTATATAATTAATTATATATGTTATATTTAATTTATTTTTACAGGGGCGTTTAAAATTTAACTATAACAATAAAAGTATTGCGAATAATTTAATTTTTTTTTTTATACAATATATTTAAAAAAAAAATACGACTCTGTCGAAATACGATAATATTACAAGATAATTTCGAACTCATTAATATTTCCATTCGATCGTTTTTCTTGTGCTTTCGGATAATAATAAAAATTTAAAATCAATTTTCTTACGAATTCTTTTTACACATCGTATATTCATTTGCAAATTAATTTTTTTAGATTTGTTAATTCGCACGATTTCGCATTAATATTTAATACATATACAAAAAAAAAAAATTGAATATCTTATCTCTCGAAACAAATCAAATTAACTGTAAACCTAGGAACTTAATTATTAAAAAATATTAAATAGATTTCAATTAAAATTCCTTCGTTGACACGTGACAAGCTGGCGCTTGTTAACGAAACGCGATGTAATAATTTTTCAAATTTATCGACTCGCGTTTAATCACCTTGCGGACATTTCGACGATGTA